AACCTAATTGCCTCCCCTTCCAAAAAAAAAAATGTTTTTAAATAATAATCTTCTGGGATTCATGTTTCTTATATATAGCTAGTTAACTTTGCTAACAACTTTCCCTATAATCAAACTGAAAATATGCTACTTGGTGGGAAATTTTACTTTTGTTGTATACAGCACAACTTGAATAAGACACCTTCTTAACATGAACCTAATTGCTACTAAGAATGATAGTGCTGTCTATGAAGTTATTTCTTAATGGTTTACCAAATGGCAAAATAAGCAAGTTTCAATTATACTTAGAATTTTTGAAGTAATTGTGTCTGATGACTATTAAACTTTGTGCAAAGTAATTTATTTCTTAAGCTTACTTATCCTGTTTATGCTTTGCATAAATTTCTAAAACCTCAGGAGGAAATATTGCATAATTGACTTTCCAGTGTTTTATATACCATTGATAATCACTGAAAAAAAATATTTTACTTTTAGATTGATGAACATAGGATATGTGTTTGTGTGAGAAAACGACCACTCAATAAAAAAGGTATGCTTATTGAGCTCTAATTAAGGGTTGATTTTTGTCCTATTTGTAGTTTATTTTAATAATAGCTGAAATCAGATTGGTTTAGAAGAGTTTAGTGTAAATCATTTCTGTTGTACCTAACCATTATGCAGATTTCTGTGGTTAGGTGTGTTGATTTGTTAATTGCTCTGTGAATGTTTACCATTCCTCTGGGCTTCACAGAAATCTTGATTTTTTTTTTCCTGTGTTGTTGAAATATTCTGTTATTGAATGGCATATTTGTGGGATATTTATATTTACAGGACTTAACTACTTTTATCTAAATTCTTAACTACTTAAAATAATTTTTGTGCATTAATTCAAATGCTTTGCAGATTACTGGGCATTGGTTTTCATTTATTCTTTCAGAAACTCAAATGAAAGATCTTGATGTAATCACAATCCCTAGTAAAGATGTTGTGATGGTACATGAACCAAAACAAAAAGTAGATTTAACAAGGTACCTAGAAAACCAAACATTTCGTTTTGATTATGCCTTTGATGACTCAGCTCCTAATGAAATGGTTTACAGGTAGGTAAATGTGTTTTAAATTAGGATTTTGTTCTTACACTGTGTGTTCATCACCACTCCACATCTTACATTGATCTTGACCTCTCTCCAGAGGTTTAATGTTCTTTTTTTGCCTTGAGTTTAAACAAAGAAGAATATGTAATAAACACTACAATGAATATTCATACTTGTTCTTGTTAATGCTCCCCAAATCAGTTTTCATTGCTGATTAACTTATATACTATCTAACACTGTATGGATAAGAAATTTCTAGAAAATGTTCACATTTTCTGTACCTCTAGAAATGGCATGTGGTAAGTGTAAAGGACTTTCATTTTTTACTTTTTAATCTCTGCACTAGTGAAAAGATTTGAAATATCTGTTATACATTAGTCACTTATTTGTCTTAAGTCTTTATTTAGCATGTACGACAACTTAAGGGAAAACATTTTCTGTAAATCTGCTTGCATTTGTATAATTTTATCACCTTTTTAAACTTTGGAATAGTTTTAGTACATGAAATTCTTCTATGTCCCCTTATTCAACTTCCAAACAACTCATACTTTCATGTATTATACATGGATGCCCCAAATTTTTATCCAAATTTAGATTTTCATACATATTTTGTGAACATTTACTTATAATTATTTAATAGGTCAGTGTTAATAGCATTGCTGTTTCCTTCTATATAGAACTGTCTTTTGTCAGTTGAATGCTATGTTTCATTGGCCTTCTATTTGTGTAAATATGACTGGAAAACAAAGTTAAAGAGTTAAGAGTGCTAAGAATTAAAGATGTTATAAATAAAATACTAATAAGACAACTCTGTTAGTCTTAAGCCAGTAAACTGGGAGTACAGTTGTAAAGAAAAAGGGCGAGATTAAAGAACATGTGAATGCTAGGTAGAAATATTGTGAAGAATTTATTTTAAAAGAGGATTATAAATTGTGTATTTTTTACCTTTCTGAGAATAGAATCCTCTCCTGCCCCCTCACTACCTTCTCTCCTTTCACTCTTGTCTCATAAAATGTCTGACTTTTATAATCATTTTCAAGAAATCATTATAAATGAAGGTATGTTTCTGTGTGTACTAGATTTAGTAAACATTTGGTGTTTCATTTTCATCCTGTATTTGTGCTTCTTAACTCTATCAATATTTATCCTATCGCCTTTCTCTTATCCTTAACTTTTATGGATTGAGAGGTTAAGCCTTTTTTGGCCTGATCAGCCTGCAGACTCATTTCTAGTTCTATTTGACTAGAGCTTTTTTTTGCTGCTTTTGTTCTGTACTCCAATCGTGCCTTTTTAAAAAACAATCAACAGAGCTGTATAAAGTGTTCAACGTATATTATTTTGAAGCCTGTCTAAGAAGTAGATTTGTTTTCTATCATACTTTTTAGGGCTGTGCTCAGTGAAGTATTTCTTGTCCCTCCTTATCTTTTTGTTTTACCTCTAGCAGTGATTATACCAATATGTAATTTTTTGGCATCCTTTTACTGAATCAAGACTATCAATTTAGAACTCAGTGTCTTATAAACATAATTTGTTTACTTATTCACATTTGAGTCAATGTATTTGTTTTCTGCTTGTTTAGATGGTCTTACATAAAGTGTAGGATTCTTTTTTCCTCTCAACTTTTCTCTATTGAGATTACCACTCTTGATTCTGTTCTTGTTGAAACTTTTGATACCTTTGTTGAGTTGGGTTGTTTTTGTTTGTGGGGTTTCTTTTGTTTGTTTGCTTGTTTGTTTTTGAGTTTCATTATATATGTCTGTCTTTCTTGTCTGGCTAATATTATCATCTTTTGTCATTATTTTTTAAAACTTTCCTGTTGTGTCCTATGTATGTCTTTAGCTCAGTTGCTGTCAGTTGTTTTTTTCCTGTCCATTATTGTGATCATTGTTTTTTTGGATTATTGCTTGAAAATACGTTTTAAAGAGCTTTAAGCTATTCTAGGATAGGTATATTTAAAATTTTCAACAAATCAGTAGGCTCAATTGTGACCTCACAGTTGAGCCCACTGATTTGTTAAAAATCTTGGTGTAAGATTTGCTTATTAATAACACTTGATATTACTTTTATTTCTTATTTGTTTAAATGTTAACAGTACATTCTGACGTGCATTTTATTTTTAAGGTTTACAGCTAGACCGTTAGTGGAAACTATATTTGAAAGGGGAATGGCTACATGCTTTGCTTATGGGCAGACTGGAAGTGGAAAAACTCATGTAAGTAATTCATTACAGTTATGTCCTGGTATGAAGCTGGTTTATTTTCCTTATAGCTTAATTCTATGACCTGAATTCTTTTTTCTTTTTAAAATATAGACAATGGGAGGTGACTTTTCAGGAAAGAACCAAGATTGTTCTAAAGGAATTTATGCATTAGCAGGTAGTAGGTCCTTTTTGAATTTCATTTGTAATATTCTTGAATATTATTCAGGTGGCTTGGAAATAAGATTTGGAAGTTTCATCTAGAATTTAAGGGTAACCATAATGCTATACTTAAAATGTATTATGTCAGTTTTTGGTTATCTGACTGCTTAAGAACTATGTTTTTTGGGCAGGAATCTTAATTGTGTCATTGTAATCTGGCACATTGTGGGAGCTTAGTGTTTGTTGTCAAATAACTGATTTGTTGGAAATTTCCATTTGGTATGATTATGAGAGTGACCTTATTATGACCGTCTATAATTTTAAGCTGTTTGTAAAGTAGTAGTAGTCTTTTGTTGAATATGAAGGAGAGTGACATCTAAACCTTAAATGTAGAAAAACTATTACTACTTTTTTTTGTAAAAATTGTTTACTTTAATCTTCATTTTTATTATTGATATTATCATTCTAAGTAAATATCAAACTGAGTCCTCTAAAAATAGAAAACTTGAATTGCTTTTTAAAAACAGTATTTGTTGCATCTTAATAAGTTTTCTCTGTATGAAATTTTTGACAGCTCGAGATGTTTTTTTAATGCTAAAGAAGCCAAACTATAAGAAGTTGGAACTTCAAGTGTATGCAACCTTTTTTGAAATTTATAGTGGAAAGGTAAGTGGAAACTTAAAAATAATTTTTTTTAGTTTTTTGTATTGTGGTTAAAAGATATGTAATTGTGGTTAAAAGATACATACTGTGAAATTTATCATTTTAACCATTTTTAAGTGTACAAATTCAGCAAAATTAAGTACATTCACATAGTTGTGCAACCACTGTCTCCACATAATTGCTATATGTATTTGGAATAGTATGTTAAAATTTTGTGTATGAGATTTTTTATTTTAAGATTCCCTTTGAAACTCTTTAACTTCAGTATTGAGCATTATTGTCCTAATAATAATTATTTAAATTATTAGAATTCTCTGAAGTAATTTTCAGACTCTAAATGACTTTTTTATTGAACAATCCCTTTTTTTTAAGCTAGTTTTTTTAATTTGATTTTTTTTTAAGGTGTTTGACTTGCTAAATAGGAAAACAAAATTAAGAGTGCTCGAAGATGGAAAACAGCAGGTTCAAGTGGTAGGATTACAGGAACGGGAGGTCAAATGTGTTGAAGATGTACTGAAACTCATTGACATAGGCAACAGTTGCAGGTAACTCTCATTTTAGTTAAGAAAGGGGAACTTAAGTTCATAATCAGTTTTAGATACTTCGGGTATAGCATAAAATCAAAGCAAGTTTGTTACTCATTGTGTCTTAGAGGTAAAAATCATTGTTCATAAAAACTTTCAGTGTGTGCCAGATTAAATTGTATGAATTTTGTTATGTTTAAGTGTTAACGCAAAATGTCTCTTTCTGTTTAAATGATGAAAACTAGATTTTTAAAATTATTTGTTTTCTAAATGAAAATACTGTGTTTGAACATATAAGTTGAACTTTTTAACCTATCAGAATTTCCTTAATCACTTTGTAGAACATCTGGTCAAACATCTGCTAATGCACATTCATCTCGGAGCCATGCAGTGTTTCAGATTATTCTTAGAAGAAAGGGAAAACTACATGGCAAATTTTCTCTTATTGATTTGGCTGGCAATGAAAGAGGAGCTGATACTTCCAGTGCAGACAGGCAAACCAGGCTTGAAGGTGCTGAAATTAATAAAAGCCTTTTAGCACTCAAGGTAAATAAAATGCATTTAATTGTGAAAGTCTTTCAGTTGTGACTCTAATTTTATTTATTCAGCTGTAAACTGGTAGTACTTGTTTTGTGTAGTTAGTAAGTGATCAAAATTTAGTCATTTGTATTTGCAGTTACAGATTTATATTGCACCCAGGAAAATTTTTTATGTATATTAATTACTCTTTTTAGGGTGAATAAAGATTTCCTAGTTGGCAGGCCAATTCTGAGACTCCAGAGGGCTTTAGTCTTTTTTCTTTGAGGAGAGCAAGGAACCACAAAACTAAGCTAAGAAAGTTTCTGTGAAAAATGTGGAAAAAGTTAGTCCAGTATAATGTCTCTTCCTTGACTAGAAAAGCAAAGGTTGGCAGCACTGCAAGAAAGCATCCTGTATTTTTTCTTTTGTGGTACCTTTTTGCAGTTATCCTACTGCCTGTCACTGCTAAACGTTAGTCATAATCTCCAGAACAATCTTTTGGAATAATAAAGTAGTTTGTTGGTTTTGGTTTTAGTTTTAGTTTTTGTTTTTAATTTCATTTTCTTGAATTAAGGTTTATGGGAACATCTTTACTATGCTATCAACCTTTTAGTAGAATTTTAAGGGCTGATCAGATCTTAAATGTTAGGGTTATAGTAAGAGATCTTTTAAATATGTTCTTTAAGATTACTCTTTATAAACAACAATGTCCTACTGTATAGCACAGGGAACTATATTCAGTAGCTTGTAATAACCTATAATGAAAAAGAATATATATATAATTTATTTGTATATGTATGTATATATATATGTGTGTGTGTGTGTGTATGGATAAATGAATCACTATGCTGTATACCAGGGACTAATACAGCATTGTAAATCAACTATACTTCAAACAAACAAACAAAAAGATTACTCTTTATAAGAAGCCTAATCTGTGAAACTTGCTTTTTAATTTTCAGGAGTGCATCAGAGCCTTAGGTAGAAATAAACCTCATACTCCTTTCCGAGCAAGTAAACTCACTCAGGTGTTAAGAGATTCATTCATAGGTGAAAACTCTCGTACCTGCATGGTAAGTTTATGTTTGTTTTGTATTAATCCTAAGTGAATTATTATATAGTATCTATGGGAAAATTATAAAATACATTAATGACAGTCATTTAAATTCTTTTATTGTGAGAGATACAGTGACACTCAGTATGTAGTTTCTGCCAGTCTAATAGAATAATATTGCAGTGTAAATGCATTCTACTAATTCCAGCATCTGAGTCTTCTTGAGGTTGATTTCCATTGATTACTGTTTTCCTTGAGTGTTGGTCACACTTTTCTGTTTCTTTGTTTGTCTAGTAATTTGGGATTATATAATTTTCATTATGAATATCTTACAGACACTTTGTATTCTGTTATGTTCTTCTAAAGATTATTGATTTCTTTGTTGTTGTTTTAGGAAGAAGTTAATATAGCTGGACTTGTCTCCCTTGCTGTGGGCAGCACCTGACATTGAAATCTCTGTTTAGCTCTTTTAGACTTAGCTTTGTTTCTTGAAGTCAACTTTGTATACTTTTAGTTCAGAGGTCAGCCAGAGATGTGGGTAGTTTATATGTAGAATTTGAGTTTCTCTCTCTGTGGTGATTTCTTTTCTGGAACCAACTTCACTTCCCAGCTGCTGTGGTGCTCACTTCTAAACTCTGCCCTTTAGTTTATTAACCAGTGAAATTCCAGGTTACTAAGGAAGTTTTAGTTGTTCTATGTGATAGCAACAGGGTTTGCCCTTAGGCAAAAAAAGTTACTAGAAGAGGGGGTTAGACAGTCACTCAGTGTTACTCCCTTCTTTTAGGTGTTGACCTCCATTTTCTTCCTGATGTTTGATCATTTTCTGGTGCTGTCAGAGTTGTTTATATTTTAACTGGAGTTTATAATTACTGTCTGATTATGAGTATAAGGTAGTGAATTATTGTGGAGTTTAGATACTAATAAATCTTTTTTTTTAGATAAGCATATCAACATTAGACCTTAATGAGCTATATGTTAATATTACTGTCATCATCATTTATAACATTTTCTTTATCTTTTGCATTTTTCCCTCATAGATTGCCACAATCTCTCCAGGAATGGCATCCTGTGAAAATACTCTCAATACACTAAGATATGCAAATAGGTACGAGAAATGATTATTTATCTTGAAATTTGAGGGGAGTATATCAATAAATGGTTTAATTTAATATCTGATAGGGTAAATTTTATTACATTGTTGAGTTTTCAAAAAAAATTGCATGTTATTTGTTGAGATACTAAGAATTGTTTTGTTATGTTCTAAAAATAATTGGGAATCTGTTGTATAATCTGGGAAGACCAGTTACATTTTTATTAGAGTTGGTATTTCTATCCTGGAACAGGATTATATTTTTCCATTTAACCAAGTTATATTTCATAATATTTGACTACATTTAAATCATGCAAATTCTTCCTGTTATATTAAGACACTAAAGTAAGTGAGTATCAGGAGCCAGTCGATATTTCTTAAATTGTCTTGCTATATGCTGAAAATTATTTCTGATATTAAATGTTACACCTGGGGAACCTAGGGTTTAAGTGGTAATAGCACAGTTCTTTCTGGTGTCCTGCATGGGTTATATTGTATTACTCTAGGCAATAGTGTTACACACTTCAGTAGACAATTGGATTATTACATATGAAAGAACAAAAAGCATTATAGACAAAGCAATTTATTCCTTATAATTATGAAATGCCCTTGGAATTTGGGGTTGTGATGGGCATTTTTATATTTGTTCCAGAGATTTGTCCCCATTGCTCTTGTTTTGAATGACTATATATATAGTCTTAAATTTTTGTTATTACATACTGCATTTGTGATTTTAACTTCGAGATAAAATCCTCCTTGTATTCCATTTCTAGTATAGAGATTCTCTTAATTTTGCTAATAAACACAAGGATTTGTACTATATTTTGTTTTAATAATTATAGAAATTTTATTTTTAATCTTTTATTAAAATAGGAAATGCATATGCATGCAGAAAAGTACCCAAAACATAAGTGAATAATTTAATAAATGCTTATAAAGTGAAAATTCCTATTGTCACACTGAGAAATAGATTTCCAGTCCCCCAGAAAATTCCCAATATGTCCCTTCTTGATCACGAATCCTGAATAACATGCCTAAATCCATTCATCTCTACACCAAGGTAGCCATTGTCCTGATTGGTGTGGGAAAATTTTCTTTTTTTTTTTTCTCTCTCTTTTAAAAATAGTTTTACTACCTATGAATGTATCCCTGAACAATATAGGTAGCTGTATTTGAACTTCATATAAATGACATCGTACCCTTTACTCTTTTATATCTTGTTTCTGCTTCAACTAAAAAGACTTTTGAAAATCATACTAAGAACTGTGTGTAAACTTGAACTTGAAAGTGTAAACTTGTTGACCTTTCACACAAAGATACTAAATGACTTTTTAAAATGTAATGGAACTTTACTTTAAAATTTAATCCCCTTTAAACTTTGAATTAGAGATCCTAGCTACAAACCTTTAGAGTACTTTTAATCAATTTCTGTAATGAACATTTTTGATATTGTGGCATTTTTATCATTAATTTAAAATGCTTTTTATTTCATAATCATTCATGGGAGAGATGAGGAATAGCTTTGTGTAGTAGAATATTACCATATTGTAGAATTAAAACCCTCCAGGTCTTCAGACTTCTGGCTGCAAAGGAATCCCCCTAATGTGAAAAATCCTGTGTCTGGCCATTCTTCTAGTTCATTTTAGGTCCAAGTAAAACATTGTAATTTATTATCATGTAATGTGATTCATTTGCAACCATCTGGGACAAATAATTATGTCTTTTATTTCCATATCTCTAGGAATGAAGATTTTCAACCTTGCTTGATAGCTCATTTGAGGAATATAATTCCTGCATATAGTATAGTTTATCTTGGGCAAGTGGGTTTCAAATAGAGGGAAACTGTGGGGCTAATAGGGTGTCTAAATTAGGAGATTCTGAAAGAAATAGATAAGAAATGGGGTTGGGAGTAAAAAGAGTTAAGTCAGTATTAGAAATTCAGGCTTGTCAGCTTGTGCGTAGGTAAGCTTTCCAAAGTGACTGTAAAAGATAAAGGGCAGATGAATCCTGTATTGAACCTTTGAGAGCAGTCATTACCAACAGGTCAAAGAAAGATTCCAAGTGGAAGAAATTATTAGTTAGATCTATATGACTACTTTTGACATATAAAAACAGTAATTTCATTTAGTTCATTACCTAAGAGAAGTAATGAGAAAAACAAAATATGATTAGATTATTGAAGTGTTTAATTACTTAAGGTTTGTATTCAATGCTAGGTTTGAACCTCAGTTATACCACATTCCGACTGAATGAACTTGGATGAGATTCTTTTTTGCTCTGAACCAATTTCTCATCTGTAAAGTGGTGATAACAGTATCACAAGATTGTCATAATGATTAAATAATATAATGCCTATAAATTACTTATCATAATATCTGACATATAGGAAGTACTTAATAAATACTGCCTACTGTTATGAAATGGAATTGCCCCCAAGAGGACATAGGAAATCACAAAAATTGGGTCAGGAAAACTGTGATTTGGTTAAATATAACTACTGGAGACATTAGCAAACGGTATTTAAATTCCATTGCTAAAGGCTTTTCTTCACCAAGGTTCTTCACCTGAATCACCAAACACAGAAATTTGAGTAACTTTTTTCTGTTTGTTCCAAGGATACTTCATAGCTAATCCCATTCTAGGTGCATAGAAAAGAAGTTAATTCATTATAAACAGTGGATGTCATTAGGACTTAATTCTCTTATGTTCTGTTTGGAAAGACGGCAAGAATGTTGAAGACTCAATAATACTAATAAACAGAATATTCATGGTATTGACTACACAAGGAAATTAGATTGAGTGGTCATGTAGTTAAATAAGGGACATTTCAAATTTATGTGATTGTCTAGTTAAACTTCTGGAAAGGATCATGAGAAAAGTAGACTATAGAGTAGTGAATAAGTAGACCAGAGAAGTTTGAAAACCTCTTCACATTGATTATTTTTAAAATACTCTATAAATACATTGTCACAACAGTGTTGATCCTTTTCTGAACAAACTAAACTGAGTACTAAATGAAGACTTGAAATGTGCATTGCTGTCTTTACAAGAGCATTTTCTTTTAATTTGTTGCTGTTTTGGTGCTGCAGAGTAAAGGAGTTTGGAATTAGTCCATCAGACATTCCCTTCTCACAGGGTAGTGGCAGTCGCCCTGATCTCTCTCCTTCTTATGAGTATGACGACTTTTCTCCTTCGATTACCAGGTCTACTTCATTCTATACATAAGATGTTTATTTAATAGTTTCTTTTGGATTGTGCTATGTACAGATATTTCATTTATACTTCTTTTGTCCTGAGCCATTTTATTTTTCATTTTCATTTCATTTGGCAGGTGGTGGTTGTACTGCATGATCTTCATTTTTATGTACTTTATTATTTGCTGTAAAATGTTGATTTACGATTCAGGCTTCCTATTTCCCCTCATATTTTTAAGGATGATGTCATCTTTGCATGTTTACCATTGAAAGATAAACTGTCTTATTTAAAATGAGAAGCTTACCTTCCTTCTGTATGCTCTTGTAAACTCCCTTGTCTGCAAGGAAATCATAAGGATCCTCTTGACTTAGAAAAATGTACGCTCTCCCAAATGTGTATATTTAAGTATAATGGGTGAACTTTATGATAGAACTTTACATCTTATAATCTTTATAGATTAGAAATATAATGTTATATGTAGCTATTTTAATTGAGCATTATAACTGCCAGATCTGCAAAGTGTATTAAACTCTTTGATTTTGGCAGTGATCCATGTATTGATCTGGGTACCATTGTTAGCATTTTCCTGTCCATATAATTCAAGTGCAACAATGGTCTCTTATTTATTTTGAAATACTGAATCTATATACTTTGTTGATTCTCATTTGTTATGTAAAGTAATTACATTTGAAGTAATTGTAAACTTATACCTTAGTAAATTCCTAAGGTTAAACAGCTAAACATCCCTTTAGTATTTCCACAGATTTCAGTTAGATTTGATCTGGAAAGCTGACATCATCAGTATTAGTGTTAATTGAATTACCTTTATATTGACTAGGTTGATATTTTCTTGTTCCTTTGCATTAGCCTTTGTTAATTTTAGATGCCCCTTATGTGTTTATAGGGTGAAAGAACTGACTGTGGATCCAACTGCTGCTGGTGATGTACGTCCAATAATGCATCATCCACCAAATCAAATTGATGACTTAGAGGCTCAGTGGGGTGTGGGGAGTTCCCCTCAGAGGGATGACCTCAAACTTCTTTGTGAACAAAATGTGAGTGATTTAATTTGGTTGTAATTATCTACTCTTAGTCATTTCATCCATAGTAGTATAGGTGGAAACTACCTAAATCGGCTCAGCAAACTACAGCCTATCGGCCTCCCATCTATTTAAAAATAAAGTTTCATTGAAACATGGCCGTGCTCATTTAGAATAGAAGTGACAAAGACTATGGCTCAGAGCCCAAAATATGTGCTGAAGTTTGCTGACCCCTGATCTAAACTATTTTTTTTCAGATTTTATACTAATATTAAAATCTGGGGATTTTTTTAAAGTAATGTAGAGAAAAAATAAATTTAAGAATTGTACATACAATGTATCATATATAGAGAGCTTAGAAACAAGATTAACTGTGGACACATGCATATATATTAAAAGAATGCATGAACTATATCAAAAATCAAACATGGCAAAATACTGACATTTGTTAAGTCTGGTTGCTTTCTATATTTTTGAAGTGTTTGGTAATATTTCATAATTTAAAATTTTGATTCCCCCATTATTCAAAAATAATAGGTGCGCATTGCATAAGGACAAAGAGGTATAAAGAAATAAAAAAGCACAAGTAATACACATTTTCACAGTTATTTCACTTATATTAAGTGAAGTACATAGTTTTGTGTCATTCTTTTCTCTGTAAGAATCCTTAAGTAGCATTTTTTCAAAATGATAAAAGGTAGCACTTATTCGTTGCTAGTATGACGTGTATTTGCTAAGCATTTTACCTATTATGTGGTATAATCCTTACAAGTCAGTGTGGTAGGTACTCTGATTATCCTTGCTTTTTTAAGTGATTTTCTAAAAGATTAAGTAACTTAACTAAGGTCATACAAATAGTAAGTGCTGAAGTCAGGCAGGATCGAAACCTAGGTCTGTCTTATTCCAAAGCCAAATCTTATATCACCTAAATTTATTGCTGGCTACAATGAGATGTTCTTTGGAAACAGTATACTTAAGTTGATGTTTTTATAGCAGGCTTCAAAGTCCAAAATATTCTAAAGTAGCAAACGTTTATACTACTTTTTGTTAATGTTTCAAATTACTCTCTAATAATAAAGCAGTTCTCAACCAGGAGTGACTTGCGTGGCCCCTCCTCCCACCCCCAGGAGATGTATGGAGACATTTTTGGTTGTCACAGCTGGGGTGCTGCTGCTAGCGTTGTAGCTGCACATCATGCAATGCATAGGGACAGCCTTCCTCCTCCCAAAAATGTTGTAGTATTGAAGTTGAGAAACCTGGTTTTTGAACTATTGAAGATAAAGAACTACAAATGAGATCCTGACCTTAGTCTTTCCCCTATCTTCAAAAGATTTGAGGGAAACCACAGTTGCTTTTAAAATCCTTAAAGCAAACCTTGCATTGCTCCTAGATACAGCGCCTACCAAAAATATGGAAAACTAGAATAAGATAGCCACTCCCTGTAGCAGATCTCTTCCATTGTATTTTTGCAGCTGTTGCGTCTCTGCAGGACCTTAATTCAGAGAGGTTGGCTAGGTGACCAGAACTAATCTGGAGGCTTTAAAGCGTGACATCATGAGTTCTTGCAGCCTCCTCCATATTTGAGAGAGTACAAATTTCTTTCAACTTTTCCTTCCCCAGGGAACTGTCTTGAGATGGTTCAGCATTAGTAGCATTTAGTTGAGTGTTGGTGCATGTATACATATTCTCACTGCTATAGTAAGTTTTAATAAGGTAGCTTAAAATGGGATAGTGTTAAGGACATTCCTGGAGATAAAAGTAATACAGGTAGACAAATTAGAGGGTAATCAAGTACGTTAGAACAGAAGTAGCTGTATAGGCAAAAATGGTATTCTGAGTGGGGTACATGGAAGTGATAGGAACTTGCATAATATCTTGAAGCAAAGGAAAGACAGAGGCATTTTGGTCTTGACAGGGAAGTGGCAGATAAAAAGAGTAAAGGTGTTTATCAGAAAGAGAGAGAATATGAGAGAATCATGCCTGTGTGTCCTGATAAAATGTCTCTACTCAGAAAATAAAAGGTTCTTTGGCCAACTTGATTATATAAACTTTTAGAGATGATAGTTTATTGATGAGAGAGTCAAATGTCTATGTGTAATAGACTTAATTTAACCAAAATACACACATATATTTAGAATTGCGTACTTTATTTGAAAAATGTTGCGTTTCCTACTGACAGTTTATAAAACAATTATAAGTGAACTTCTATCTCACTAACATCACTTTTTGAGGAAATAAATCATTAGACATTGGAGTTGGGAAGGAAGTTCAAAAAAGAAAGCAAGGCCATAGAGGTTTGACTTGATGTAAGACCAAAATACGTGTTGTATATGTAGATGGGTTTTTTGTTGATGAAGTTGTGAATTGTCCAAGTTTATATAAAAATCGGTAAGCAAATTGTATAAATGCAGCTCGGAAATTAAGATGTACTAAGAGTTGAGACCTTCAGAACACTAATTTGATAGTCACAATCATGAAAGATTATTACGTTTACATCTCTCTTCTAGGTGAAAAGTAAATAATACTGAGGAAATACATCAGTGTATTTGTAGCCTGCGATAAATATATTTTCAGAAAGTTGCAGTATTCCAAAAGAGATTGCTTTTTCAGGGTAATTCTGCAGTAAACCTTGGGCTAAATGGAAACTATCCCTTACTAATATGCTTAAAATTTGGGTTGTCTTATTGAGTGTGACATTAAATACTTTTGACCCATAAAAAGAAATTGTAGCTTTGCCTTTCATACTGTATTTTAGTAGTGTTTAACACCACAAGCTTCCTCAATTTCTAAATGGCATTTTTTGTAAATGACATAGAAAAACTACTTTTTACAACATTTAAAAATATAAACTTTATATTATAATTTTTTAATTATTTTCAAGGAAGAAGAGGTTTCTCCACAATTGTTTACTTTCCATGAAGCTGTCTCACAAATGGTAGAAATGGAAGAACAGGTTGTAGAAGATCACAGGGCAGTGTTCCAGGTAAAGTAAGAGAAACTTTCATCACGTTTCTTTAGAGAAATTAACAACTTTTCATAATTCTTTGAATATCACATTAAATCTAGAAAAAACACTTGTTTATGTATATGTATTTGTAGGACATATGACATGTCAAATTTTGCATAGAATGACTGGTGGCTACAAACCTCTCTTTGTAGCTGTGGTGAAAAGATCTAGTTTATTTACCTCTTTATTTGCTTTTGTCAGTTGCTCATTTTTAGGGGGGTTGAACTTCCCTTCACTGCCTCTTCATGTTAGGCCAGTTTGTTTCACAGCAGTAGAAAAAAGTCTTCTAAAGGATATTCAGAGCTGTTGAAGAAGAGTTGGTCAGTCTTTGCAGAAAAGGAAGATTGTGCATCATCTGAGCTGTCAGTGGCAGATGAGGGGTGTTAAATCCCTGCCTGTAGCAGTAACTCCTTAGGTATCCATCCCACTGTATGTTCAACCTCTTAAAAGCACTTTTACTGTAAGATCCTCCCCTTAGTGTTTTTTAAACAAAAAATATTCTAGAGGGTGATACCTATGAGGAAGCAAGGATAACATTTCGACATCTTTGTGTAGACTGTGTGGTCAGCTTGTCCTCACCCCTGCCCACTTCCTACAGAACTATGAATACCCTCTGAGAAAAAAGTGAACGATGGTTCACTCCCCCTATTGAGTTGTATTCCTTCTCTGATGTTGAAGAAATCTTTATCTGTAAACAAACACTAACATTCCTCAATTCTAGGCAATTCAAGCACCTGGATGAAAGGCTCAGAAATATAAGAGGACTCTTATAATTTCGGAATAGGATATGTGTTTATTAAAACTGTTACAGTTTTAGTGAAACCCTTATTATGAAAATCTCTTTAGAGGCCTGAGTACTTAGATTAAATCAAGAAAGGACACTTGATGGGGGAGGGGGTGGGAAGGGACAGACTGGGAGTTGGAAATTTGTAGATACTGACAGATATATATATAGAATAGATAAACAAGTTCATACTGTATAGCACAGGGAAATATATACAAGATCTTGTGGTAGCTCATGGTGAAAAAGAATGTGAAAATGGATATATGTATGTTCATGTATGACTGAAAAATTGTGCTCTACAGCAGAAATAGATGCAACATTGTAAACTGACTATAACTCAGTAAATTTTTTTAAAAAGGACTCTTAAAATTTAAGAAAATTGTTGTCTCTGCCCTTTTGGAACAAGGTGTCCTATAAAGATCGTCATTTCCTGTTCTGCCATTTTATCATGAAGTCTAAAAGTTCTTTGTTGGCAGAACTGGGTGTTCTGACTTTCAATCCCGTGCTCTTTTCACAGTTCCATTCATTATTCCTCCAAACTGTGATCTTCTGTTTCTCACGATAGGGTTTTGTTTTAAAAGATAAAGTATACAGCCGAAGGAGAAGGAAGAGTACTAAGGAGGGCAGTGTTAATCCATACATACATAGTTTTCTAATAGGTACCTATACCTCGGTCAACCAGTTCTGCCTGGTGATACAGTCTAATAATTAGCCATTAAATTGCGCTGATGTTGAGAACAGTGAAATTGTTATGTACCCTAAAAAGCTAGAAAGTGTCCATTTTTATGTCCAAAAACTCTTCAATTCAGAATAATGTGACCTTGTTAATTAGCCATATGATTCATGACATTGCTAGAAAATGAAGCTCATAAATTCCACATATCTAAAATCTGTCAAGAATGAAGACTCTCCTTGAAGCATTTATGAATAGTAGTAAGTAGCTACTATTTAGTGGTTCATTTGACTCTTCTAAAATTGACTATCCATTGGTTTCTTATAGTCAGTAATTAGGACTGTCTCCTGGCCTAACCACTGTGAGGCCCCAGATAGGTATGTTAATTCCAGATGATTTACAAGCTCTAGGCTACCAAAGGCCTCATCACTTGGCACAGTAGCTTTATTATTATACCCATTCTTTCCCTGTTTTGGATAGCTGTTGAGGTTTCGAGACTTACTCTGTTCATTGATACACATATATTGTGTGTGTGCATGTTTGATTCATTTCCTCCTCCAAATGCCCACTCTAGGTAGAGTAAAAATAGGAAAATGAAGTCATCTTGTTTGGCCTGTCATATTGGTGTTCAAATTTAAGGAAATATTTCTTAATTTTACTCTGTGAATAAAAATGTTTTATGGTTATTAATATTTTAGAAAATACTGTCTTCAGTATGTTTGATTATGTTTAACATAAAATTTGTAAATTGGTTCCTATGTTAAAAAGAGGCTTATTAGAATTTTTGTCATTTTAGGAATCTATTCGATGGTTAGAAGATGAAAAGGCTCTCCTAGAGATGACTGAAGAAGTAGATTATGATGTAGATTCATATGCTACGCAACTTGAAGCTATTCTTGAGCAAAAAATAGACATTTTAACTGAGCTGCGGGGTAATTCTTTTTTCATTTTAGCGTTTGAAATCTGCCTAATGTTTGTACATATCTAGTGGGAGGATTTCATTATGAGAAGACATCTGAAGTGAAATTTATGGGCACCATTTAACATCTTTCTAGAGGTATAAAGACATAATAGCCATTCTGCTTTTTTCTAAAAATGAAACACAATAACGTTTCAGGTGCTCTCTCATTTTTTTTTTTTTGGTCTTTGGGGACAATAAAGACACCTTACAATTAAAGAAGGGAAATATATTTTTACAAGTTTGTAAATTTTATATACACATTCAGTTTGTTTGGTAGGCCAATGCTTTTCAGAATTATTTCCTTGGATTAGATCTATTTAGGGTCATCTTTTTACAGCCTCCTTTCTGTGCATCTTGTGTCATGTTTTTCCTTTGAACACTTGTTTTAAAAAAAATCAAGGGGAAGGTTTCAGGATTCTACTTTGCTTATGATACGGAGCATGTAGTTTACCCATATGCCATGTCTGTTTTCTTGGCTTTTAAATTAGCTTATCTATGTGCAGCTTCAGATAAGCATTTATTATGTGTGCTAATTTCTTAGGCATTGGCAAATTGGCTGTGTTCATTTATATGCAAGTAGGCTTCTTTATGTGTGTGTACATGCAATGCAACATGAAACCAGATTGAAATTGCTAGTTTTTAGCACCAAACAGGCTGCTTACTTTTTAAACTAGATTCTTTCTAAACTTGGTTATTTAAAATCATATCCTAGAGTCAGCAGTGACCGTTGTGCCAATTCAGAATTGTTTGTGCAGATGTAGGGTTTCTAAAATTTGTGTTTTTAATGTTCTTCATGTTCAAGCCTTGATTTAAAGTGTTTTGATCATTTTTCTAATCTGCCATAATGCACAAGCAGCTTTTTCTATGTGTTTTATTTAGAAGACAGATAACAATGCTTTCTAATATTTTTTTCTCTGTAATATGTAGCTTTCATCTTAGTTCACTTCCTTTCCTTAATTTTTGCAGGATTCTACATACCGTATTATTCAATCCTTTCTTAGGAAGTATTTTTTTTTAACCTTCCAGAGATGGTTTTGGTATTAATGTAAGAAGTTTGAGAGCAATTATTTTATATTAGTAGGTATCAGATCCAGAAGTCTTTCAGTTCCTTTCTAAATTTCAGAAAAGTCAACTTTTTAAACATCTGTATACTTAGAAAGTGGGGAAAGAAATTAAGATTCCAACTTCATAGCTTTCTTTTCTTCTGAAAGCCGTAACCTTTGCATTGTTAACACATTTTAAGTTAGGTAACTATTTGGGGGTGTTGTCTCCTGTGTTTTGTACCATACTTACCAATATCCTTGATTTCTACTGACTAAATGACAGTAGCACCACCCCAATTGTGACTGACAGTCAAACATGTCTGTAGACATTATCACATGTCCCTAGAGATGGGGTGGGGGCAAAAATCACTGTTGAGAACCCCTGTTATAGAAAAGATTTCTCATCACAGCTGTCTGTTATTTGCCTTTGCCGGTTTTTACTTACCTATTTCTTACTCTTATGTGACTGAATTTGTACATGATAGGTGGTAAGACCCAATTTTAAGACCAAGAAATGTATGTTCTATAATCCCCCTTTACTGTCATACCCTTTTGTAATCCCTGGTAAGAAGAAAAAAGTAACATTTCTTCGTAAAAATTCAAATAATCTTTTAAGGTAAAATAGGAGCTGGGAATAGACATCTCCTAATATTGAGAGAAGAAATGTCTATTTTAGTTTAGTAGATTCATAGTGTTCCTTTCAGACATGGCTGTACATATTTTACACACAAATATAGCGTGTTTACACTGCAAAAAGGAATTCAAATAAAGCTGAACACTGTAAAATGTGCCAAATACAACAGAAATATGTAGAAGATACAGAAAAAAACAAGTATTTCCAGGAATCTGTAACTAATCTGTTGCTGTAGTTGAGCATTGTATTGTGAGTTTCTGGGCAACAAAGAACAAAGGAAAATTTCTGTTAATGTTAAGAAATAAGAGAGTTGACTTGATAGGACCTATACAGTTGTGTAATGCAGTACTTATTCCCTTGTTCTTTTCTTTTTCCAAGATAAAGTGAAATCTTTTCGTGCAGCTCTACAAGAGGAAGAACAGGCCAGCAAGCAAATCAACCCGAAGAGACCCCGTGCTCTTTAAATCGGCATTTGCTGTTAAAGGATCCCCAGGACCCTCACTACTGTAACATACAATAATGGTTCAGCTGTCAGGGCCATTTGAAAGTTTGAAATTTTAAGTGTCTGTGGAAAATGTCTTGTCCCTTCACCTGAATGACATTTCAGTTTTGTGAAACACTCCTTTGTCTACGAGATGCTTCTAGACCAGGAGGCACAACCAAGATTTGGGAGTAGTGAAGCATTTTGTTTCATTTCCCCTAATAGTGATTTACTTTTGGAGATCCTTGCCAATTTTATTTTCTATATGATGAAGTAAGATTGTGGACTTGATCCAGAGGTGAGTAGTAGGGGGAAGCCGCAGCATTTCCTTTTAACTCAGTTGAATTTTCGTAGCAAGACTGAGCAGTTTTAAGTCCTTTGCGTGCATGCATACCTCATCAGTGGTTGTACATACCTTGCCCACTCCTGGCGACAGCTGTGCTCACCTCTTCCTGCTTTGTGCCTTGACTAAGGCTATTGACCCTAAATTTCTGAAGCACAGCCAAGATAAATTACATTCCTTTTGTCATTGTAAATTACCTTTACTGTGTGTACATTTTTACTGTAATTGAGACTTTTTTTGTGTGTGACTAGTTAATTTTGCAGGATGTGCCATATCATTGAATGGAACTAAAGTCTGTGACAGTGGACATAGCTGCTGGACCATTCCATCTTATATGTAAAGAAATCTGGAATTATGATTTTAAAACCATATAATGTGGTTATAATTTTCTTAGCATTTTCTTTGTAAAGAACTAAAATATAAACTAGTTGGTGTATAATAAAAAGTAATGAAATTCTGAGAAGAGTTTTATCTTAGGATAATACATATATATGCAGTGTGTGTTCCAGTGTGGTATTAACAAGACTAATAGTGCAATTTGATCTTTACCAGTACCATTACTTAAGTTGAGGTGTCCATTAGCACCCCAAAATGTACCCTTTAAATGTACTGTTAAAGGAAATTGGCTTCTGATGCATGAACATTTACATGTACATTGAAAGTAGTCCATAATAGAGCTGTTAGTTTAAGCCAAGTATAGACAGTACATAACTCCCTTGAAAACAAATTTAAGCTTAAAAAACAAAAAAAAAAGAGTTGGCTTTGCCTTAAAAGGCAGATCTAACCCAAGTTCCACCTGTTACCTAATGTGTGATGTTTCACCATTATTTGGTGAGAATCACAAAATTCTCACCAACAAGTTGGTCTAGGGCATGCTACTTTTTAAACGGTGGCACTTATTTTTACAGATTGCTATTCCAAGGAAGAAAACTGGCCACTTTACATGTAAATATTTTGTTACATTTATCTCTCTCTCTAGGATTTTTCCCTCAGTTCCCTGGATAGTGTATAGGAGTACATTAACAAAAAAAAATCTCCCAAGGATATCTTGTTTTGATTGACTAGGGAACTACCAGCTCACTCATATGGGCTACAGGGAAGCTGTGAATAGAGAGTCACATGAGCCAAATTCCCTACTTGACTGTTCATTTATGAACTCCGAGGTAGTTGTGGGAAATCCTAACACCGTGGTGAAAAACTCCTCTGTAAACTTGAAATCTAGAACAAATGTAGGTTTCACAACGTGCTTATTATTAATAAATGAAATCTATGGAATGAGTTTTAGACACAATTTACTTCAATACCAATCACCTTTGTTTTGGAAGGGACTCAGGTTTTCTTGCAGCTGTAAGATATGTTCTATTTGTGTTTATTTCAAAGAGAAGAGGAAAAATGGGGAACTGTTGCTATTGACTTTGCAGAGGCTGTTTTAAAAGGAGTTTCTGAGCCTAACTGACCTTCAAAGGGCAATAAAGATACGTGAATTTGCTCATTTTAAAGCACAACAGATTAGTCTTAATTTATTATTTAAATTAGAAGGGTACTATCTCTGGAAGGTCTCCTCATATTCAAACATGCTGTCTGATACCATAATGGCTTCATTCTGATAAGTAATCGAAGTATATTAAAAATTGGTATCAGAAAAGATCTTGGTAGTATAATCGAGGACTTCCGTTTTACAGGTAGGGAAATCTGAAGGCTACAAAAAGGACTTAAAACTGAGTAGTTTAGAGGGGGATGGGGAAATAAGAGGGAAAGCTGACTTAAATCTTAAACTAAGTATTTCCTTTAAGGATAGAGATGGTACAAGTGAACTTTGCAAAGTAAGTAGTTTTGTGAGATTAAAAAATCCTACTCTTCAGTTTATGTAGTATTTATGTAACAAAAGTGGCTTGATGCAGATGTTATTTAAAGAATAACTTAAATTTTTTGGATCTGGGTTAAACATTATTTACTTTATCAGACTTGAAAGCTGATATCCCTATTAATAAGTAACTAAAATATACATTATTTTAGTTATCTAAGATACCACTTTGCAGCCAGATTTCAAAGACAAATCTGTTTAGGCAAACAACTTATCTTCCCTTCTAGGCTCACTCAGTGTACCTTTGTTAAAATAATTTGGAAACCTCCTTCTATTAAGTTAGGTGTAAAGAAAGCCAGCTATCACTGAAAATATTTTTATTAATTTCCTTATATAAATAATCAGCTACTATAATTCTTTGTTAAGGGATATTAATAATAGTATATTGATAATGACTTAAACATTGTAGCTAATTAAGACTTGTTTACGACATTATTGAAATTCTCAACCTAACATTTTAAAAATAGCTTAAAACTAAGCTTTTTCATCAGTTATGTGAAAAAGTACTGAAAATTTTAATATTCTAGAAGTCATATGAATACTGGGAACCTGCATTTATGGCATAATGGCTGGTTGGGATTTTTTGTTTGTTTTGAAATTGAAGGGCAGAGATTTTAACTTCTAAGCCAGCTATGACTTACAAAACCCTTTGAAATTCTGTTAACTCTCACTGTCTCCCCAAGAGAAAACTGTATAATCTTATAGTTCATATCATTCTAGTTGAGCATCCTCATTTCACAGGTAAGGAATCATGCCCAGAAGTAATATGCCTGAACCACACGGTGGCAGTAGCACACTCAGGCTTACCCAGACCCTGATGTAGCCCGTTACAATACAGGATAGCTAAAGGGGTAGGCAATGATAATAACTGTACAGGACAAACAGAAAGACTGAGAGAAGCAAAATAACATTTTAAGAAACAACTGCTGTACTGTACATATAAATAACAAGAAATGGCATGCGGAATATGTGACTAAATATGCTTATATTTTAACTGTTTTTATGACTTGAAGGACAAAGGCCTAAAGAGTTAAAAGCATAAAAAGGTACTCCCAGATATATAACAGAAAATATAACATCTCTATATAATAAACTTAGAAGTGATAACTTTTAAGTGTAAAGTTGTGCGTGTCTGCGGCTCTTAAACTTGAAGATTATCAGGTATAAATTGGACCCTGCCCTGTGCTATATATTACAATCAAAACCAAAAAAACCTTGGATACTTAGACTTACTACCTTAAAAATTCAAAGTAATAAATGGTGACAGCATTAGTAATACTAAATCAAAAATAGTCAAGCACAAAGTGTCCAAGCATACATAATTCATCTTCTCAAATTATTAAGAATGTAATTCTTTTCTTGAGTTTGAAAATTCTTTTCCAGATACCTAAGAAAAATGGATACCTTCTGCATTGAATCCATGTAGCAATCTGAAAAAAGAAACCGAAATGGGATGGTATTGAAATGTTAATTTGTAGCATGTAATAGTGCATACATAGTCCTATACTCTAAAACACAAACACATCTGCAAACCTGTCAGGCCCACTCACTCCTAACAGTAGTCACTAAAGAAACTTTATTCAATTACATTTATGAGAGAGATATTAATTAAAACTACATCATTTTGGTGCCTCTTCTGTCACAGACTGTACATCTGAAGGCATGATGAATTTAACTATAAAATGATCTTAGACCTACACTCTCTGGCCTAAGAACACACCGAAACTTGTTCCATTTCAACATGGTAAATGAACATGAAGATATTTGGAATTAGAAGAGAGGAATGGCTACATGTCCATGCTTCCTCTCTGAGCTCAGTGTTACTGAGGTTCAAATTAAATACTTACACATTGCTTCTCTCTGGGCACCTAGCTACTTATCAGATCTTAGTTAGCAAATTGCATGTTTAGTAACCTTGAAGAAAGTTAACGAGAATGAAGGAAAATAAGATGAAACATTTCTATTTAGACCTGAGATTATTTTCAGGATGACCCATAGGGACCATGAAGATGAGTTAAGATGTCAGAAAAAGGAAGATGGGTACTTAATAAATTAAAAAAGATGGGTACTTATTCAACTTCTAGGATTAACATCTAATAAAGACTCAATAGTACTGCTAGCCTGCCAATTAAATAGCTATTGTCTTAATTACATACTGTTCTGTTTCTAACATAGAAAAGTCAAACCAATGACTTTTAGAACATTTTGCTCTCTCTTTTCCTTCAGCCTCTTTAAAAATGAATTGGCTAAACAGGCAAAATTTTATGGTCTTATTAGTTAGGAAGTCAAAGTGTCAGTGATTAAAAACAATACAGGTTAATAATTAACCTAAAATTACCTGGATAATAATTGACACTTACTCTGCTTTCATAAGATTTACTTAATTCAAGGAAAACAAATTTTAGTCTTTATTGCCCAGATAATTATGACACCCTTCTTTGAGTTCAGGTATGTAGAACTTGCCTCAATCCACCACAAAACAAGTTACTGTATTACTAAACCAGTTAGAAATGATAACCAGATATGACTGTAACCGATATTATTTCATACGTAAGATCTATTTGATAATAGCTATTCTCAATAAAGAAGAAAAGAACGACACCCAGTTATATGTATTATGACTCTTCTACCTTACAGGCTACTTAGAAGAGACAAAGAACTATTAAGACTGACTGTGAATGGGAGTTAGGGGAGGGGGCTGGAGGGGAGGACCACACACAACACAGCACAAATTGCCACAGAGGTTATCTCCAGGCTCGGACTGTTCTTTACTACTGTTCTTAAAGAAAATGTTCATTCTGCTGCAGCTAACCAGCCTCCATCTTCTACACCAAATACTATTCCATGCCGTGGAAGTGCTATGCAATAACTCCCAGGTAGCACCTTATGCCGCTTAAAAGTCTTTAAATCTCTTAATTTGAAGATATCACGGTAAAGAAATGTAAACGTGTAGGAAAAGAAAAATGTAATTACCTGATAAAGTCATCTATGTCCATGGAACGGGCCCGTGTGTCACTAAAACCTGTGCTGGTTAGGATTTGCTGTATTTTATCTGCTATGCTGAAATCTTCTGGTATTATCTATCAATATAAGATTCAGAATAAATGAACAACGTATCTTTAATGAAGTCACATTGACTCTTTTTTTTCAGTTCGGTAAGTCAAAATAGTCACCTTGTTTGTTCATGGTAGTTTTGGAAAGCCTATTTGTGCAGATAAGACTTGGATCTCTGATGAGTTCAGTGGTTGATCTTTAGCACATACAAATACTCATAAGACCCTGAATGAGTTAACCATGTGCATCACCCTTTTTCTTAAAAATTTTGAACGTTCTCATGGTTATGGGCTTCACAAAGTACTTCATAACACATAAAATAAAGCTGTAAACTAAATTTTAGAGCAACTGTTAACGCCTTTAAAAATAACACATTTTCTTGGCACAAATTTTATTTTACCAGCTAGTTAGTTTTTCTCAGAGATGGCCCCTCCAACACTTAAGAATATTAAGTATTTTATACTTCACATCTTTCACCCAAAAATTTTTCTTAATCTAGCTTAAAATTTTCCTATGTAGGCATATGTTCAATGACTTTATCCATAAAGAAGAAAAATAGAAGTAGCAGTGTGGTACATTAAACCATGTAAGACCTGAGTCAAGAAATGCAAACTAATTTGTTTCTATTAGTCCCCTCTGCTTACATTTGTAATAGTTAGTAAGCAACAAGCAAGAAGGGATGGTCACAATTATTTTAAGCTGAGTAAGTTACACATGCCTAAAACTAAAAAATTATGACAACTGAATCTTTTTATGACTAAAAAAGCTGCAGTAGCTAAAGAGGATGGAGTGGGGTATTCAGGTTGCTCAGATTTGTTGCGCAAAATACACAGCAGCACTGACTTGTTAAAGAGTCCAAGTTGTGCTAGTTAGATGTGACATACCATCTTTTAAGGATCCTATGTCATGTAAAATTAAGAATCTTGTGATGATAGGTGAAACAGAATAAGAAATAGGATATTTTAAAACAAATTATTGAAACAACAGGAACATTTTCTACTTACAGTATTATGGACTGAACAGTGAATTCTGTAGTTTTTTTCCAATAGCTGTTGTACTGCACTTGACCTATGAGCATAAAGAAATGATATCACCATTATGCCCAAATCAGATTATAATTTCCTTCAAGTCTATATTCCATATGATGAAATTAAGAAACTAAAGTGTTGAATATTTAAAGTTATGATATAATCAAAAGCAACTAATTTTTAAGAATAAGTCCCAATAAACATCTCTTACATTCTTAAAGAACTCTACACTCTCCACAAAACATCTCAAAAAAAATTTTTTTTTTCATTATGGCTTTCACCTCTCTTGACCTTGGGCCCCAAATTGCTGTTACATTTTTCCATGTTAAAATGCCAGGAATTTTTCAAAAGTATGGAAGGGGTCCATCATCACCTCATTTTTCCCAAGGGAAAACTAGGCAGATGTGTGGTCAGTTTTTGTTCTTTGCCCGTTTTGTAAAAAAACCAAACAACAAAAAACCAAATGATCTAATTCCCATCTCTAGAAACTTCATTAAATTCTCCCCAAAGTACAAAATTAAAAAGATAAAAATGTGTCTGGACATGGATCATCTTTACGCTCTAGGGTATCTGGTCAAGAAAAGGATGAAATTCTAGCACTTAGCATAGTATCTGAAGCACTGAACTTTTAAACATTATAAATTGGTGAACACTTACTTAAATGCAGCAGATAATGTCTTGTTTTTCCTAACAAAGGTGATCCTTACTAGGCCATCCCATTCCTGAAACAGTAGATGGATATTTTCTTACAAAATATCAAACTCTGCCTATACTTGCTACATATTATTTTGTTTTAATATATAAAACTGAAAGGAACTTTCTGGAGTGATTAAAATGTTCTAAATATTTATCTGGCTGGCACACGTGCAAAAGTAAAGATGTATACTTGATTTTCCCACTTTTGTGCATCGTCAATTTTAAAAATTAGAAAAAATACATATTTGTTCCACATGTGAACAGAGGACGTGGCATTTATTTAAATCTAAGTATCATTTTCAAAAAACATGATTCAAAAAAGATAGATTTAGAATATAGCCTGTACAATACACCTAACTAAACCTCACTGAAGAAGTAACTGACAAACCGTTTCACTGCCACCAGTCACCACACACATTTTCATCCAACGTGATTGCTGTGAAGTTTTACATCAAGTCATCTTGCTTTCTTCTTTTTTTAAATCGCAAAAATTAAAATTTTGATTAAAAAGTGTGACCCATACTACTACTCTAACATAACTATTTTCATTTTATCTTGTTTCCCATTTCTTATTCAAATAGATACATGTTTTCCACAGCTTTAAATTCAGCAAAGTGCAACGGCATTCTAACTTTTTTATTTTTTGCAGACGTTTTCCATGCTCTTTTGAGGTCTTCAACTACCATGTGTAAAATTATTCCATCTACTCCACCACAAGGATGTATCTATCACAATTAACATCTTCCTGTTTAGTCAGGATTTTTCTGGTACTATAGGCACACATCTCGCAGCTTGGACTTTTTTTTTCCTTTATGGAATGACCTAGTATTTTAACCTCACCTGAAAATTGATAGGTGGTGGTGGATTCTTAGGTTCTATCCTTACGACACTGGATTCCACCTTGGGTGGTGGTCTGAAGTTATTCTTTCCAACCTGTTAATGAGAAAATGTTCAAGGAGTCCTCTCAAAAACAACTTTAAATGAGTAATCAAAAATGCTCTCCTCACAGAAAGGCATAGCTAGATGCTCAAGGATGAGGTAAGCCATATTATTTCAACAACAGTTACTTACTTTCATTAGATGGTCCACACGTGCCAACAGCTGTGTATTAATTGAGAGTCTGCAGTATAATTTATCCCCAGGTTTTGCAACCAGTCGGAGAGCAAATTCTCTTTGAAACATAAGTATAGCACATCTGAAAAGACAGTAGAAAGGAATAAATCAAAAGGTCATTTTCAACTATAAATGTATTTTAACTTGAATTAATTTTCTCAGGTGGGAAATAGAGCAAAGCAATATCTGGGGTAACGGTAATCAGTCCAGCTAGTTAGGAGGGAGAACACTTTCAGCCTGAGGTTTAGCACTACAAAACGATCCGGCTGGCCTTGTTTTTCACTGTGTGATGGCTATACCCCTAACCCCTTACACATGTAAGCCCCCAATGATCAGATAAGAAAGCACTTCAGATCAGCACTGGTCTATCATCCCATCTAGAAAACAGAACCCAAACAAACAAAATTGGCTCAGTAGCCGAACTATATTCATGGGGTAGCAAACACCCTTCTGGAAGAGCTGAGGCAGGTTGTGACATCAGCGTCCTGATTTAACAGGTTAAGGAATGTGGACGGTTTATTCAGCAAGCAGGAGGCTTTTTGCAGACTCCTGAACAGGAGAAGAGATCTTCAAGGCTGGGATTTGACTCTCCAACTTTTTTGACATAAGTCTCACTAGGAAAGACATCTGACACTGAAACCAAGGCCACAAATATCTGTATGTCCATGTGTTTCTGTAACTCAAACAAAAGTTTCATGAAACTATAAACACCTGGACCACATGCACTGAATGCCCTGTGATATATTCTACATCATGTCATTTTTTTAAAAAGATGAGTCACGATTCACTTACTTTATTTTATACCCACTAAGGAATTTTTGAACTGCAGTTTGAAAACCATTGGTACAGATTGTACTAGAAACCAGTTCGGAGGCCACTGTAGGAATCTACATACAAGGTAATAACAAGTCTGACCAGGGCTAACGGCAGGAGGATGAGGATACAGGGAAAGGCCACCTGGCCTCAGAAGCAAGACTTACACCACACCTCCCCCAAACAACTGACAATTGAAAAAGAAAGAGAGAGAGAGACCTCCACACAAATTGGCATTTTCTATAAATTCTAAAGAAATTCTCTAGTAGTTTTTCAACTGAGTTAATTTTAGTCACTGGCTATCTGTCTTCATGGCCTAAATTGTCAATCTTTCTAAGATTTAACAGTAACTTTGGTCTTTTTGGCACAAACCTGAAAAAAGGTCGGTGCAGCAGCAGCTTGAAGACAAAAGGAGATGAGATCTGCAAGAGAATTAACTGGTTATTTCTGGGAAAGACACACTAGAGAAACATTTAGAATAATGGCCTCTGCAATTTTAAAACAAACCTGATAAGGCAAGTTTGCCACACAAGCATCAAAGAATGGCAAATCCGTTTTCAGCACATCACCCACCATTACTTGAAGTTTGCTAGCTAGAGGTCTGATGATGAGAAAAAGAAGCAATTAAAAAAATATATTGTTTCATGAGACTGAAATGCACTTTAATTCTATTATGTATACTCACGTGCCCTGAACTCTTTTGTGAAGTTCAGCTACTAGCCGTGGGTCAAGTTCACAGGCAATTACCTAAATTAAAAAAAAAAAAAAGTCGGTGTGTGTATGGAGTATAAATCTTTAGTTATCGCAACAGTAACTCTTACATGATTTAAATGCATTAAACTTCTCTTCCCAATTCTACCATCAATATTCCTTCAACTGTATCTACCAGCACATTCTAAAGAACTTATCTGAAGAGAGTTTAATGAAGAGACTATTTACGAAATGTGGGAATGTTGTTAAGGGAACAACAACAGAAATACCACCCAGGAAAGTAGACAACCAGACTATGTGCGAGTCCTACCCAAATAACGGACAGAATTATTGTGCTCATACGGCTCCATGGTTTATAAATCAACAGAGGATGAGAAGAATATACAATGTCTTCACAGTAAATGTTCTTAGAAGCATACAAAGCAACCGCTCCCAGAATGAGTATATCACTTCTCTCAGCTCTAAGATCCAGAATTCACAGCATAGATAACTTCCCAAGTAAATGAAAAAGGATGCCAGATAGGCTGAAATCTTCATTTTTATTCAATATAAGCTGAGGTTTTACTGACTTTCAGGAAGACGAGGTCTTCAGAGTAGACATATGTGCTGCCTAGTCTGTTGGGCTCCAGGATCCATTCTCCAGCTTTCTCTGTACCCTGTAGGGTGATGCAGTCCAGCTCCATTGCCCTCTGCCTTCTGGCTGGGATTGAAAGGCATTATAGGGCGTGTTTCCTACTGCCTGCCCCTGCCTTGCAGAAGCTCTGGCAGCGTCTGTGTTCTGCTATGAATGCCCCCTGCTCAGTGGCTCCCACTCTTTTTTTTTTTTAGTGTTTGGAGAACAGTAAAAATATTTTATTTATTTATTATATTATTTACTTATTTTATTTTGGCAGGGTGAGGGGAGAGGTAATTAGGTTTATTTATTCTCAGAGGAGGTACTGGGGATTGAACCTAGGATTTCCTGCATGCTAAGCAGGTACTCTACCGCTTAAGCTATACCCTCCCCTCAGTGGCTCCCACTCTTATTGGGCTCCAGTAACAAAGTTCCCTCCTCTTGTCCCTTGAGGCCTTCGGATGGTAACTGTTTCCTGCTATTGCTAGTCCCTAGGTGTTTCACTAAAGCTTACTGGTTCCCTTAACATTCCCAATTTTGGAAATAGCCTCTTCATTAAACTCTATTCAAATAAGTTCTTTAAAATGTGCTGCCTATTTCCAACAGAGAAGACAACAAAGGTTCCATTTAATTAGAGACTGGGTCAGCCAAGAGACAAAGAAGGTACCACCAGAGGCCAGGTGACACCCTGATCTCAGAGACCTGTGCTCCAGCCCTTCAGGTCTCCTCCTCCCAAGTTCTAGCTTCCAATAACTCCAACCTCCTTACTTTGTTTCCCTGAGCCTACAGGTGGTAACTGCTCATTGTAGTTTCTATTTTTGGGTGACCTCAGTGTTTCCATTTTGTTCTCTTAGCCTCCTCACAACCATGTCACCAATTTCCGATATTAAGTTCCCTTTATTGAAATATCTAATACGGATTCTGTTTTCCAGACTGATATATCCCATATTTTCTTTTTCTTTTAATCCGTTTTTAAAAATTGAGATATAATTAACACATAGCATTAGTTTCAAGTGTACAACATGATTGGATTGGATATCTGTATGTATTGCAAGATAAGTCTAGTTAA